TTGCTTGGGTCTGCCCAGTGAAATTGTCAATTTGCCATCTCCTCAAAGAACCACACTTTCACACCTCCAAAAGGTGTCAGAAACGTCTTCTGCAAATCCTTTCATTTCAAAACTATTTTGTGAAGGGAAAACAGAAAAGATGTAGATGTTACAGGGCTAGGTTTACTTTCATGGTCTAAACCAGGACTGTGATATTTTTTTTTCTGGAATAAACTCCATACTTATGGGGAAAATGAGAATAAAACCTAATTTAATGTATAGATTTACTGTATAGATAAATATAATTAAAATGATGCATAGTTAATGTGATTATTTTCCATTCATCAACATTTTCTTCTTCTTTCACATTGCACATTATAATTTGAAAACAACTTTTGGAAATCCCAGTGGCAGCCTCATAGGCTTTAAAAATTCCTTCAACTTCTTAGTTTCTAATTTTGCATTTCTGTCCTAAATTTTTAGTAATTTTACATTTGCTTGTGAAAATACCAGAAAAAGTAGATTTCAAAATTGTGTTTTAATGTATTATATTTCATGAAGCTCCCTTGGAATCAATACATGTCTCTATCAATTTTAACTAATATTCATATCTTGTTATCCAGAATGATGCAGTTCTTATATGTAGAGAAAGTAAACTTTATCAGAGAAGAAGAAAATCCACACATGCACTTTTATTTTGAATAATAGTTTGAGTTGAAGAAACTAGAAGTTTTCCTAATATATAAATTTCATATGTTAATATCAGCACAAAGTCTAGGTAGACCCACAAGTGGAAAACTTAAACATATCCCACATTGGACATATTTGATATGATGAAGGGGATTATAGAATAGAATAGAACAGAACAGAACTGAACAGAACAGAACAGAACAGAACAGAACAGAACAGAATACTTTTATTGGCCAACTGTGAAGGAATTTGTCTTGGTGTAAATACTCAGTATACATAAAGAAAAGATACATTCATTAAGAATCAAGAATCATAACGTACATGACAATTATGTCATCTTACAAAAGCTTATATGATAGTAAATAGAATAGAATAAAATAACAGAGTTGGAAGTGATCTTGTAACAGGGGTGGGATTCTACCAATTCTCATCTATTCGCTAGAACTGGTTGTTAACATTCTAAGCAGTTTGGAGAACCGGTTGTTAGAAGAAATTACTGATCTAATCCTGTAAGGAAGGCAGGAAGGAAACATTCTGGTGTTGCTTATAGAAACTGCCTCTCTGTTAACTCTTATTATGTTCTTGGCAGGACTAGACTTCCAGTCTCAGGAACGTCTCTGGAGGTTTTTTTCCCCCACCTTTGCTGGTACTTTGCTTATGTGCAATGACCATTCAAAGTTATAATGGCACTGAAAAAAGTGATTTATGACCGTTTTTCACACTTACGACTGTTGCAACATCCCCACAGTCATGAGAGGCCAGGCGAGGAGATGGGTGCCTCAATGTGAGTGATATTGAGTTGGCCATGCCCAGTCAATAACATGACCACCAAGCCATGCACACCAACTAAGCCATGCCCACAGAACCAGTTGTTAAAAAATTTGAATCCCACCCCTGCCTTGTAAGTCATCTAGTCCAACCCCCTGCTCAAGCAGAAGACTATACAATTTCTGACAGATGGCTGTCCAGTCTTTTCTTGAAAGCTTCCAGTGATGAAGCACCCACAACTTCTGAAGGCAACTTCTGTTCCACTGGTTGATTGTTCTCATTGCAGAAAATTTATCCTTATTTCTAGGTGGAATCACGATCAGTTTCCATCCATTATTCCTTGTCTGGCCTTTAGAGCCTTTGAAAAATAGGTTGAACTTGACCCCCTCCTCTCTGTTATAGCCTCTCAAATATTGGAACACTGCTATCATATCACCCCTGATATATTAGTCTTTATCACAAGAAAAAGTATCCACCCTATTTTTGGTTACCTTTAACAAAAACTTCAAAGGATGACACTGGAAGTTTAACTAAATCTATTTAGCCAAGGTGATTTCGTTTTCATTTAAAATTGAGATTAGTTTCAATCTGACAATAGATATTCTTCTTGAGGTGTTAATTAAAGTAATTTTTCATGTTAACTAATTGATATAACTATTTCAGCAGTACATAATGAGGTTGGAATGTATCCAAGGGGTTGCATTAGGATTCCAGGAGTCAACACCATGTCTACCTCTCTTTCTCAGTTATGAGAAGCAGTGGTGACCTTGGTTTTTTTTGACATTGTTACATTTTATAGATTTGATGGTTCTTCCACCTCTAATGTACTCCATTAGGGCTGCACATCTCCCCTCAGCAAACCATAGGGTGCCTCAATTGTTTGTCAGGGCTTTGAAAATGATCTTTGACTGCTCATCAAAGAAAAATCCAGCCACTGATAATGAGCTTGGCCTTATAACAGGGGGGTCCACTAAGAAGCCAGTAGCTGTTTCTTTCACAGAAAATGTGTCATTCATAAAATGAGTAGCTATTGTGTGTTTACATATACTTGGCAAAAAGTACGAAAAATAGCAAATAGATTGGTGGCAATTTACTTTGTGACTAAATTAATGGTCAGTATGAATTACATTTTTAAAGTACACCAAGCATTTTCCTCCAGCTGTCTTAGTAGCAAGATAAGGAATCTTTTGAAATAGAAACATGAAACACCAAAAATCTAATAAAAGATACTTTCTACCTTTTGTGTCCCTTTTTCCCATTTTTGATTTTTCATTTATTCATTCGCTCATTCATTCATTCGTCCATTCATTTATTTAGTATCTTGTCTTTATTATTTTTTAGAAATAACTCAAGAAGGCAAACATGTTCAATACACCTTCCTCCTATTGTTTTCCTCATAATAATAACCCTGTGAGATGAGTTGGGCTGAGTGAGTAACTGGCCCAAAGTCACCCAACCAACTTTCATGACTAAGGTGGGACTTAAACTCACAGTTTCCTGCTTTCTAGCCTGGTGCCTTAACCACTAGACCAAACTTGCTCTTTTCATGAAAACTTGGCTATTTCCTTTAAGCGGGTATGAGGACTGCTTATTAAACTTATTAAACAAACCAATATTGTAGGTTTTATGTTCCATGTGTTATTGTATATTTTCTTTTTCTGTCATTTACAAAAAAAACCCCACCTTGATTCTTGGGCATTATATAAAGTGTTGTAATTAATTAATAAATACATGAAAATCTCACTTTTCATCTTTAGGTTTGTAAAGACCAAAAGCATACTATATCCAGTACAGGTTACAGGACAAAGGTGTAACGTGCTGATCAAGGAGTGTACATGATTGCACACACTGTTGCATGCTCTAACAGCAGTTGCTTATAAATGTTCTTTTAAGGATAGCTCCACATGAAGTGTGTGGTAATTTGGGAGGTGATGAAAACATGATTGACTATGAGCAAAGCCTCCCCACTAGCACAAAAAAACACAAAGGTGCAAAGGTACAAACAAGGTACAAAGGCCCTCCTGACCTCAGCTACAATCTGCTCCTCAAACAGGAGGAAATCCAAATTGCATACTCAACTTACAACCAGTGATTGTTCAAAGTTACAACTGCATTGAACAAGTGACTTATGGCTGTTTTTTACATTTACAGCAGGTCCCATGATCACAATTCACAATTTGGCAACTGGTCTGTATTTTGTGATGGTTGCAGTGTACTGCGGGTCATGTGATCACCTTTTGCAAACTTCTGACAAGCAAAGTTAATGGGGAAGCCACATTCACTTAACAACCATGTTACTAACTTCATAATTCCAGTGATTCACTTAACAATTGTGGCAAAAGGTCCTAAAATGGAGCAAAAGTCACTTAACAATTGTCTTTCTTAGCAACAGAAATTTTGTGCTTGTGAGTCAAAGACTAAAATGGGTAGACTCTTTTTGAGGTAGTGCAATGCCACCCAGAAGAGATGGGAAGTTCCCAGAAAGGGCGGGAGGGGTGTGTGTGTGAAATCACTCATATATTGTTTAACTGTAGTTTATTCAGTACAAGTACAATACACTATACAAGTACATGTAAATTACATAGCATATTATGTGGTAACACTGGTTTAAATTGTAGCCCAGCACCTTAGCCCCCACAAGAGATAATTCATGAAATGTCATTTTAATGTATGCCAATTAGTGTACATTCAAAGTGACAATAAGGTTTCTGATTCTATTCTATTCTATTCTATTCTATTCTATTCTATTCTGTTCTATTCTATTCATGTTTTTACCAATTTAGTTGTCTATAGTACTACACCCTTAACCCCACTGTTTAAAAACTTTTTACAGAAAAGACGGCAAACTTTTTACAAGCTACAATGGCCCTGTTCACCCACTACACAAAACCAGGGCTACTTCGAAAAAGCTAGAAGGCAGCAAAGAGATAATGAAAACTTTGATAGCTGTACTAGGCCAAAATCAAATTATGAGTTAGTGCAACGTGAGTCGTATATTTGTTTTAACAAGTAGCATGGCACTTCGGGACAACAAATCTGAAGCAGTTTCACTTATCCCTAACACATGCAAACAAAATCTAACTAACAACGACCGATCGCGTTTCTAGTCGACGTGTATTTCCCCATCAAGCTTTTTAAAATCAATATTCAAATAATTCTTGAAATGGACAATTGCAGCAATGCCTGAAAAATGCCTAGAAATTAAGCTGTGAGTGGGGTTGGACCCTTTAGGGTATTTTCCTCCTTTTCCCACGATAAGAGCGACAGTTTGCTCCGCAGAAGACAACCCCGATATTGAGGGTGAGGAAAACCAAGTATTTCTAGCTAAAACCCGTCTTCTTCCACATTAATCTTTTCCAGCAAAAGGAAGGGAGGTAAAGAGAAAGTGTCAGGCGAAACCCTGAAGCAACCATACTTTGCACTACTCTATTCAATTGGTCCTGAAAAGACCGGGGGACGGTCCCAAAATTCTTCCCTTTTGCCATTGGCTGAAGCTCGGTGTTGGTAAAACAAAACTCGGCAGGGCAGCCAATCCCGGCAGAAAGGGCGGGGCAAAGGAAGGCCGAAGGGACTGTTGTTTTCCCAGTAGCTGGAGACAGATTATGGATGTGAGTTGCGGGCTGGAGCCTCTGCCGGTGTCCGTGTGGCCGCGGCTGGAGGAACTCCCGACTTTCCAGGTGAGAAAGGAGAAGTAGAAGAAGGGACTGAGCAGCAGCCTGCGGGCAGGGACCGATACGAAGTTGTTTTGTACGGACCCGCCGATGGAAATGTAGCGCTTTTTTAAAACTGCGGCTGTTGCATCGAAAGGGACGCTGGGAATTAGAGTTTCCTATAGGGCGGTTGTTTATCTGCAGTGGAAGCCTTAAACATCCGAAAACTACAAGGCCTAGAATTCAGTGGTCGTGAGGCGGGGCCATAGAATGCAACGGATTGCGTGAACGGCGCTTTTGACGCACCTGCGAGAGTAAATCCCAAAGGTTTTTTTTCTTCAAGAGGCTAGTGGACTTTCCGGTTTTTCCTTTGAAGACGTTTCGCTTGTCATCCTAGAAGCTTCTTCAGCTCTGGTTGGATGATGGGGAATGGAAGGATTTATACTTTATAGCTTCTTGGATGAGAAGCGAGACGTCTTCAAAGAAAAACAAAGAAAGATCACTTGCTTCTTGAAAAAGCACTTTTGGGACAACCATAACACGTGTGTGTGTGTGTGTGTGTGTGTGTGTGTGTGGAGAATATATATTCTTTCACATCTTTTGTGATCACTAACTTTCAAATAATGATCCGTATGACGAACAGAAAGAAAAAAGATGTCGGAAGACAAAGACATCGAAGAAATTAAGAGTTTGTCCTGATTATATATTGCAATGAGTTAACTGGTTTTCACATTATAAATGCATATGGTTTGAAAAACCAACATTTGGCAAAAACCTATCTTCAAAAAAAAGTAATAAAACTACCAATTGATAAGGTGGTTCTGAAACAACATAAGCTTGATCCTGATAGATGAATCAAACTCCATTAATATCAGTAGATTTCATACGTTTATTGGTCAAGAATAAATTAAGTTACATGTATCAATACAGTGTAGGTTTTTTTTTTAGATTAAAATATTTTTAAAGTGTTTGAAAACACTTTTTTAAAAAGTATACATTAAAAATAATTACAATTTTAATCCTTAAAGGTACAGTTCGATTCCATTCTTCAGTTTTGACAATGAGGAATAGCTTTTCCTGCACTGCTTTGCAAATAGTTTATTGATTAGATCTATGATTTGCTTTTTTGTAGAGTGTTAAAGGCCAAGTGTATAGTGCAATCTCCTATTTTTCTCCCACAACAACCCTGTGAGGTATTAGGGTTGAGAGTCAGTGACTGGTCCAACCAGTTTCATACCTATGTCACCCAATTTCATGCTAGAACTCATTGTCTCCTGGTTTCTAGCCTGATGCCTTAACTACCAGACCAAACTGGGTTTTTTTTTAATGGTTATATGAGGGGCATAAATTGAAAATATGGTTTTCATTATATCTCTAGTTTAATATATACTTTTAATGCAGATGATAAACTTTATACTACCCTTTGTGGAAAAAAGTCAATTTTGCTTTCCTTCAAGTTAGCGTAAGCTGAGGAATCTGTAACATCCATTAGAAGTCACTCTTGTTCTGGCAAAAGTATTGTATGCTGTTACTTCAAGAAATGCTTTTTTTTTAAAGGTCACTGCAAGTTTCTATTTACTGAAATAAATACTGTACAAAGTATTTTAACATACTTTAGGCATGAAGCTAATTGAGTGACTTTGGGGCAAGTTACTCTTAGTCCTTGAAAGCAGGCAATGGCAAACTACTTGCCAAGAAAACTGCCTGAACTGCCTTGACTTGAAAGCGCTTCCGCCCCCCCCACTTTCCTGCCCATGGATCCATTTTCTATGTAAGCTGAAAAACATTTAGGCTTCCCTTATTGTCACAACATAGACCTTATGCAGATGTTTACATGTGTTGGGTTGGACTCTTATCTTTCTGTAGTGCTACTTCAGGTGTGTTTTCTGATGTTTCATCTACCAGAGCTCATTTGTGCATCAAGATAACCCCTAGGGTTGATGTATAAGAGAGAGGACTATCTAATTAAACTTTCATTCCAAGTGGACACTACAGCTTGAGTGTCAGAGAATTTACCAAGCTGCTTTTGAAAGCTAGCTGGATTCATCAAATGAATAGATCCTTACATATGATAAAATCCTGGTCATTTTTTAAAAAAACTTTATTTCTGTGATATCAGCATTTCTGGAAACTAAGATTCGCTACATGACAAACATAACTGCCTTCCTTTAATATCCTAGGTTATTATTTTCAATATATCACCCAGTCTAAATGCACAGGATTGCTTTAGCAATAGCACTTATATACTGCTTCACAGTGTTTTACAGCCCTCTCTAAGCATTTTACAGAGTCAGCCTACTTCCCCCAACAATCTGGATCCTCATTTTACCAACCTTGAAAGGATGGAAGGCTGAGTCAATTTTGAGCCTAGTGAGATTTGAACTGCCAAATTGCAAGCAGCCAGCAGTCAGCAGAAGTAGCCTGCAGTACTGCATTCTAACCACCCACCACCGCAGCTCTTTTAATGTTCACTTCAGTTACGGCAGATCATTTAGAATCCTTCCACAAAGAAATGGTCAATTAGTAGAAGCCGTATAAAGCAGTGCATTCTTGTAGCACTGTTTTCATGTACATTAAATCAGTTGTAATTTTGTCTTACATCCCCCATTTGTGGTTTCATTTCAATATATAGAATAACAACTTTTTCCAAGTTCTTCTTTCTGCAATTAAAGGATACGTTTGTTATCTAAAACGTCCAAAATCATGGCTTGTCCCATCAGATAAAATTAGATTTGGTAGGCTGGCAAGATAATTTTATTCTTGCTTCAGCTAATAAGGTACTTTAGAGGAATTAAATTATTCCCATTATGAATGCAGCCTGAATTGAGCCCTGTGGGTAAGCATCTGCATAGTAAGAAATACATTCTGAAGAAATCATGCTGGAAGCAAGGGAGAAAAATGATAAAATATCAATGATGTTTGTTTTAGAATACTGCTAAGTAGCAAACTGATATTGGTTTTAAAAAATGAACATTTTCTTCTGTGGTTACTGGACATAATTTGTTCTTTTTTAAAAAATAAAGTACTGTTCATACTGTTAATGTTTCTTTCCAAACCTCTCTTGTTCCTCATGTTTTTCTGTCTTACTTGCATACATCTTGATTTAGAAAATAAAATTATTGCAAGGAATAATTCATTTGTTAACTAGAAATTGAATGCATGAATTATAGACTTTTAAAAAGACAATATGCTGACCCCCTTTTTGGCCTCACATGAGTTATTTCCCAGAGTCTGAATGAAAGTACTGGTGCAATTGAACCATTAATATCACTAAAATCTGTTGTCATTTTACACAAGTACTCAATTTCTCCATATAAGTTGCCATAGTAAAGTAGATAGCATTGTATGTAAGCACAACAGGGATGTTGATAAACTATCTAGAAATAGATGATCTCTTTAAGATCTTTCACCACTAATTAAATCTTTTTATCACTTTTTAAATCATATGATTGTGTGTGTGTGTGTGTGTTTGTGTGTATTCACCCACTTTGAACAATGCATATAAATTGTTAAAATACAGTACATGGAATTTTATATAAGTAAGACAGTTGTTGATACGTCTATAGGGATAGATGGTCTCTTAAGGCATTTCTATTTTATCCACTTTTTAAATCAAACGTATATAATCACTCATTCTAAACATTGCACGCACTGACAGGTATTTCTGCAAAAATAGGGACAATCTTTGTAGACGTTAATGAAAAGAAGGACTAGAGGTGACATTGAAGCAATATTCCAATATTAGAGAAGCTGCCACAAAGAAGAAGCCTATTTTCTAAAGTACCAGAAAGCAAGACAAGAAACAATGGAAATTGATCAAGGAGAGAAGCAACCTGAAACTAGGGAGAAATTTCCTAATGGTGAAAACAATTAACCAGTGGAATGGCTTGCTCTCGGAAGTTGTGGATGCTTCATCACTGGAGACTTTTAAGAAGAGATTGGACACTTGTCTGAAATGGTATAGGTTCTCCTGCTTGAGTAAGAGGTTGGACTAGAAGACCTCCAAGGTCTCTTCCAACGGTATTATTCTGTATTCTTTTGCCTTTTTACACAATATATTATGCCAGCCTCTTCCGATATGAATATACAGTCCTCAAGATGATTTCCTCTGTTTTCTTTTTCAGTATAGTCCCGATCATGTGCCTGGACCTGGAGGCAAACCAGACCCATCTGAGATCTCCTTCCCTGGATGCAGCTGTCATTCTTCTTCCTGTCTTGCCCCAACATGTACTTGTCTTCACTATGGAGAAAATTATAACAACTTATCCATTAGGACGGAAGGACATGAACTGGGATTTTCAAAGCCTGTTTTTGAATGCAACACTATGTGCCATTGTGGAGAGAAGTGTCAAAATAGAGTAGTTCAACAGGGCTTACAATTCCAGCTTGAAGTATTCAAGACCACTGAGAAAGGATGGGGTCTTCGCACTATGGTATTCATACCCAAAGGACGATTTGTGTGTGAATATGCTGGGGAAATTCTAGACATTAATGAAGCACGTAAAAGGATTCAGTTGCAGACATCAAGTGATTCAAATTACATTATAGCAATTAGGGAACACTTGCATGATGGGACGACAATAGAGACTTTTGCAGATCCCACTTACATCGGCAATGTTGGTAGATTCCTGAACCACTCCTGTGAGCCCAACCTCTTTATGGTCCCTGTCCGAATAGATTCAATGGTGCCTAAGTTAGCACTTTTTGCTGACCGTGACATCTGTGCAGGTGAAGAGCTTTCATACGATTATTCTGGAAGGTATCATAATTTTTTGCCCATAGAAGCACAAGGCAGCAAGCAAGAAGGGAAAGAATCTAAGAAACCTTGCTTTTGTAGAACTAAATCATGTACAGGTTTCTTGCCTTTTGACAGTTCTTTATTCCACAAAGATGGTAAGAGGAAGTAATGCTGAAGGAAAAGTCTGAAGCCAAAAAAAGCAGCTTTTAAAGCTTGCTGCAGGAATGTCTGGAGATGATAAAATCAGCCTCACGTATACACATCCCCCCACACAAAATGCAGAGATGCTTGTTAAAAGTGGCTGAATGCGTTTAATTATGCACCGATGATGTGGCCCATGGGATGCTTAGATCTGACCCGCGAGGGTGCCCTGAAAACAGTGAAGGACTGGCCCGTGGTGCCTCTGCCAGTGCAAACGGAGTGCCCCTCCTGAGCTATTTTCACTGGCAGAGCGCTTGGGCCATGACAGGCGCCCCCCAACATGAGTGATGTTGAACTGGCCAGGCCAACCTGTCTCCCCACTGCCCCGAGGTCAAACGCAACCCTTATATGGCCCTCAATGAAATTGAGTTTGACACTCCTATACTAGGGGGAGGCTACATTTGTGCTCTTTTCCCCACAATATAATTCCATGATACAGAGGGGAGGGTTTTTAACGGGAGGGGGAGGTGAGCCAATATGCATTTTCTGGTTACCATTTATTGTTAATACTTATGGTTATGCCCAAGCATTGATAATAAAGTAAAGGCTGCATATTATTCCTCTTTATATATTGGCATTAAAATTTAAAGGAGAAGCAGCATTGGGTCATTTAAAAACACGGTATTTATTTTTCTGAGTTAAATGTTCCTAAATATGTGCAGACATTATTTCTATGACCATTCAGGCTTATTTTCAATATTGAGAGATTCTTTTCTTCTGAGTTTGTGTGTTTGTGTATATAGTGTATATTTTTGTATCAGGAATTAAAGGCAGCACAAATTAAAATTTGTTCCATCCCCAAAATATATGTGTCTAACATTTATAACAGTACTTATTCTCTTATTCCTAATCAAGCAGGTCAATTTTGTATTTTCTCTTACACAGTAGTTTGGCAGTATTAATTTTTAAGTTGGAGTTAAGATAATTGTAGTAAGCCCTGGTCACTTGTTCTCTTGCAGACAAAGTACAGAAATATAATTCTTGGTACATTTAACTTTCCATTTTTTGTATTGACTCTTCCACTTCTGCATCTATGTCTTCATCTTCTCATTTAAAGCTTCAGCAACTTTTAATACACTATAATCAAAATGCTTATATATAAATAAAAAAAATCTTTATTTATATTTGTAAATCTTTCATTCCCCCTATAAATGTCATTAAATCTCTCTGAACAGATAAATTTCTTTTTTTCTCGTTTTTTTCTCTTTAGTTCCAGAAAAAACAAAAAGTAAGATTCCTCTTTTCTCTGAGATAGGAGAAATGTAATTATATAATGACATCTATATTATAGCTATCATTGGGAGATGGATGGCATACGTTTAATATGTTATTTGAAAACATGGTACAATTAATAACTTGAAAGCAAGTTTATATCCATAATTAGATTAGTGAATTCATAAATTAAAATTATGTCTTTAAACTCCCAAATACGAATTAATAGCCACTGCTTTCCATCCAACCTCAGAAGTCAATCTATTTTTTTCTGATATGGAATAGGAGACATTGGATAATATCAGATTCTGAAAAGATTGTTGTCATATTTATGCAACAAATAAGAGGAAAAGAACCAAATATTTACCCTTCAGTTTGTGGTTATGAAAATAGCCTTGACTGTTTCAACTATATCATGGTAACTTTCCAGTCTAAAATGAAATAAATAGTTAAAGGGCATTTGTACTGTAAAGCAAAAAGATATTAACCTAATGGGATATAGATTTAAAAAATGCAATGCAAATTCAGATATTGTCATCACCTGTAATAAGACACAAACATAAATTTTAGAAGAGAATATGACTTAATTATAAAGAAACATGAATGGAAGTTCATATTTTACTTCTGAACTTTCCATAATCTTCCACTATGGATTATATATTTTTCCATCCTCTAGTATATTCTTTACTAAAGAATATCAACTGAAATAAAGCCAAAACTAAGTGCATGCTTGTAGAATCCTGAAACAGATGGTAAAATATGAAATATTTGAGAAAATTACCTAAAAGCTGGATGTGTTCAATTATCACTAAATTACCTACTTAAAAACTTGGCAAAAACAAATGTGAAGATATGAAGATCTGTTGCAAGTCCTACATACATAATTTGTGACGTATACGTAACAGACAGGCAGATAGTCGGTAGGATAAATCTTTGAAGTGCTTTTTTCACTCTGAGAAATCTAATTGCCATCTGTATTTTGTTTTCTATTTTAGCCATGCTTTACATTTTTGCTGGGGGGTGGGGTGGGTGGAGTGTTTTCCCAGCAATAGAATTTTAAAATGTCATTTATACCTCTTGTAATATATGTATAAAGCCACATGTTCCCAATTGAAAAGGAAAGGCCCATAGAGAGAATCTCAAGAGTTTGTACAAATGAAAGCTATAGATAGATGATAAAACAAGGATATCATGTCAGGTTTGCTGGATGTAGCTCTTATTTTCAGGGCTTGTGACTTGATTATTTTACCCATCACTCTCTTGGCAACACAGGTCTGGGAAAGCCACCAATTGCAGCTAACAGATGAAGGTGTAAGCTAATTCTATCAACAGTGCGGCCACCATTGCCTTTTCAGGCGTCATGTGAATGCCTTGAAGTTCCATACCCTATAAGGTGTTTTCCTTTCTCTCACAGTCTTGCAATTGGTAAAAGGATGGAATGCTGGCTCCAGTTTTCCCTTTTCCTAAACATGTATATTAATTAGCACTTCTTCCTTTCCTTTCCCTTCCCTTGAGACTAGTGAGAGCTGCAAGGTTCATCAAGCAACTTTTCTACAAATATGGAAGCACAGTGTTTTCCAAAGCATAATTACAAGTGCTTTACCCAAAATGCATTTCTTTACTGCACAACAATGTCCCTTGCCTTCCCCTCTAAAGCCCTCCCTGCAATCAAATTTAAATTCCTCTTATCAATCAACACATGTAAGTTTGACTAGCTTCACTTTACATGTTGATTGGTTAGGTTTGAGCTTGCCAAAGGGAACTCATTTAGAAGTCATATCGTTGCTTGATTTGGTGAATGCTTCAAAGACATTTTTCTATGTAACATGAAGATATCTGTGTCTCTTTCAGAAGCCTTAAGCAGCTGGAATTCAATAATAAAATTTCAGCTCTTCTATCATATTGAAAATTTGTTCTTGGCAAACTATTACTCTATTTTAAACCATTGCTTTGCTTTGAGATTAAGTTAAGCTGAATTTACTTCCAAAACCAGGGTGAGGGTTTTTTTGGGGAGCGGGGAATGTCAATAGCTAGTTCACAGAATAAAATCATGGGCATGGAAGCAGCCAATTGTAGAGAGTCGTCAGAGCTAAGGCATAAAATCAAGTATCTAATTACTATAAAATTTTATCTATTTTGGTCATGGATGTGACACACTTTTTGATATTCACTTGTTTTTAAATGACATATTGAATTATTTGGAGTGCTGATGACATTTGGATGTAAAATTATTTGGAGTGCTGATGACATTTGGATGTAAAAGGCCTTATTTAATGCAAAAGCAATAAGTTTTTTTGATCTTGTCCTTTAATCTAGTGAGACAGAAGTTTTGCTCCTAATTTCAATTAAACTGAAAGTTAAACTTTGAAGCTGGTTGGCTGTCTGAAAACCATAGGGGATTGTTCTCCAACCACCTAACTGATTAATCAAAAACAAGCAAAGGCAGTTGAATTCCTCTTAGGTTTATTCCAGAAGAGGACAAGTTTGTACCAACTTCTTAATTTCATGCAATGCAATGTAATGTCCAAGTGGTGCCATCCTATTACAGAACAACAGAAACTACAGCACAATATTGATATTCACCTCATAAATGGTACATAGAAGATAAGAAATTCTGCAGCGTCTCCAGTTTAAATGTTTTTTTAAACTGGGAAAAACATTTAATGTTTTTGGAAAGAGGGAGACTAAACTGGAGTGTTTAATATTATTATTCAAAATAAGTAGGGCCTGTCGTGCCCATATTTTAAACTATGAAATCAGAAAATAGTCCTAACGCTATTCAAATATGATAAATCATATTGTATAAGTAAATCTATATTCTGAATTTCTACTTTTTCTTTCATTTCCTAGACCCATGACCATAATTTACCAGAAGTCTTTTGAATGAGTCATCTGTAGTAATTTTTAATACTAATCTTTGACTTAGCATTGTAGAATTGGATTTGATCTAAGATGCTAATCATCCAGTGTGGATACTAAAAATAATTAAAAAGTGATTGAACCCTCCTAATAGAATGATGCCTGTAGCTAAGTCACATTAATATGACTTAGGCATAGAACTAAGTCATATAAATATGACTCACATTTAGAAAATATAAATCAATCAATCAGAATAGAACTGGAAGGGACCTTGGAGGTCTTCTAATCCAAACCCCTGCTCAAGCAGGAGACCCTATATCATTTGAGCTGTGGTGGTGCAGTGATTAGAATGCAGTATTGCAGGCTACTTCTGCTGACTGCCTGCAATTTGGCAATTCAGATCTCACCAGGTTCAAGATTGTCTCAGCCTTCCATCCTTCCAAGGTCAGTAAAACGAGGACCCAGATTGTTGTGGGTAATATGCTGACTTAGAGAGTGCTGTTTCTCAATTCCAGGTTGCTCCTCTCCTTGATCAGTGTCCATCCATTGCTTCTTGCCTTGCCTTCTGGTGCTTTGAAAAATAAGTTGACCCCCTCATCTTTGTAGCAGCCCTCAAATACTAGACTACTTCTATCATGTCACCTATAGTCCTTCTTTTCTCTAGATTGGCCATATCCAATTCCTGAAACCATTCGTAATAGGTTTTTGTCTCCCAGCCCTTAATCATCTTAGTTGCTCTTCTTTGAACTTTATCCAAAATCTCAACATCTTTTTTGTAATGTGGTGACCAAAACTGGATGCAGCATTCCACCTGAGGTGCTACTAAGGATTGATAAAATGGTACTAATCATGTGATTTTGGTTCTATGCCTGTTTATACAACCAAGGGTTGTATTAGCTATTTTGGTGGTGGCGGCGGCGGCTGCACACTGTGAGCTCTTCTTTAAGTAATGGTCCACTAGAACTCCAAGGTCCCTCTCAGAGTTATTGTTTTGAGTCAGCTTTTGTCTAATCTGTACTTGTATCTTTGGTTTCTCCTGCCTAGATATAAAACCTTGCTTTTCTCAACATTAAGTTTCATGTTGTTGGATAGGGCCCATTGTTCAAGTCTGCCAAGATCTTTTTGGATCCTGAGCTTGTCTTCTGGGGTGTTGTCTATTCCGGCTAGCTTAGTGTTATCATGCATATCATATTAAGTTATTTCTGACTCCTTGGTTTTCCACATGTTTTCATTACTGTATTCTTACATATCTAACTTATCTGTATTTTGTTTTGTTATATATTTACATTATGTTATTGATAAGGTCTTATGACTATTCAATTAAATAAACAATACATATTAGGTTATATACATGGGGACTCCCACAATGGAAGTGGCATTGCTTCGTGGCTTCTACCAATCTGTTTAAGAGGATTAGTGATATTCTCTAGCAAATTTGGCAGAAATGCAGAGAGAGGGAGAAACAGCAAGATTGTCATACAATGTTCTATGAAACCATTTTTCCCCACAGCACCTGGGGAAAAAAAGGAGAA